AGGGGGAGGGGGAGGGGGGGAGGGGGAGGGAGGAGGGGAGGAGGAGGAGGAGGAGGAGGAGGAGGAGGAGGAGGGGAGGAGGAGGAGGAGGAGGAGGAGGAGGAGGAGGAGGGTGCAGGACGAGGAGGGGAGGAGGAGGAGGAGGAGGAGGAGGAGGAGGCGGAGGTAGGAGGAGGAAGGAGGAGGAGGAGGAGGAGGAGAGGAGGAGGAGGACGAGGAGAGGAGGAGGAGGAGGAGGAGGAGAGGAGGGGGAGGAGGAGGAGGGGAGGGTGCAGGAGAGGGGGGAGGAGGATGGGGAGGGTGCAGGAGGAGGAGGAGGAGGAGGAGGGAGGAGGAGAGGAGGGGAGGAGGAGGAGGAGGAGGAGGAGGAGGAGGAGGAGGAGGAGAGGGTGCAGGACGAGGAGGGGAGGAGGAGAGGAGGAGGAGGAGGAGGAGGAGGAGGAGGAGGAGGAGGAGGAGGAGGAGGAGGAGGAGGAGGAGGAGGAGGAGGAGGGAGGAGGAGGTGGAGGAGGAGGAGGAGAGGAGGAGGAGGAGGAGGAGGAGGAGGCGGAGGCGGAGGCGGAGGCGGAGGTAGAGAGGTAGAGGAGGAGGAGGAGGAGGAGGAGGAGGAGGAGGAGGAGGAGGAGGAGGAGGAGGAGGAGGAGGAGGATAATGAGGCGCGGAGGAGGAGGCGAGGAGGAGGAGGAGGAGGAGGAGGAGGAGGAGGAGGAAGAGGAAGAGGAGGCTCATGGGATGGAGGAGTAGTCCTCTTCCTCCAGAGCCTCTTGAGGATGTCAAGTCTACCGCTCAGCACGGCAGAGGACTGGTTCGCCAGAGGAGGGGTTCGCCAGAGGACTGTTTCGCCGAGGACGGGTTCGCCAGAGGACGGGTTCGCCAGAAGACCGGTTCGTGAAGGCCTGGTTCGCCAAAGACCGGTTCGCCAGACGAAATTCGCTAGGCCCAGCTCACCAGACCCAGTTCGAGAGGCCAGGTTCGCCGGGCTTGGGTTGCCAGGCCTGGCTCGCCAGGCCCAATTCCCCAGGCCTGGTTCGCCATGGAAGGTTCCCCAGGCCCGGTTCCTCAGGCCTGGTTCGCCAAACCTGCAGCGGGACGGTGGATGGTGAGGAGGAGGATGAGGAGGAGGAGGAGGAGGAGGATGGGGTGGAGGAGGAACAGCTAGGTGCGCTCGCGCCATATTTGACGTCCTACCCCTCCCCCCCATCCCTTATCATGGCGTAGATTTCCTCTTTATTCGCACAGTCAGATGTCGCAGCAGGGCATAGCATTACATGGCATAGCATGATTCGGAAAACGCGTAGCCTGACATAGCATGGCGGTGCGACGCCCTAAAGTGGTGGGGGGCTTCCGCGATTCAAACAATCAACGAATCGACACCGAATGTGTAATCACTTCCGATGGTTGTTTCGGGGGGCCATTTTCTAGATTTCGGGGCCTATTTTTCTCCGTGTTTGCCCGCGCGCGCCCATGTCCAAGGCTGCGGGCGCGGCGCCGCACGGATTCCCCGAGACGCGCGCTGGTCGCCCCGAAGGGGTCCCGGCGACTCGCGCGGGTCGTCCGCTGCATGGAGCAGAGAGAGAGGAGCTAGCAGGCCGGCTAATAGCGGGCACGTTTCTGGCCGCTGGGCAGAACGACGACGGGGGTGAGCGAGGCGCCGGGCAGAGCGCAGCATGGAGTTCCCGCGTCGCGTGGTCCCAGCAACGCGCGCGGGTCCCCCGCGGCGCGAGGCCAAACAGTCGGACCGTCGAGAGACGGCGAGGCTCGGGCGGGTCGCTCTTCAGGTCAAGCCTCGCGGATAAACTCGGTGTAGCCCAACTCCCTGGCCTCCCTTCAGCACCGCTGCGTGCGTTCAGCGAACTGCTCCAGCTGCTTCCACAAGCCCTCCGGCGGCCCTGCCAGGAAGAACTCGATGCGTGGCGCCCGCGTGAACAGGCGGTCCTCGTGGAGCGTGGCGCGCGAGAGCAGAACGTGGAGTTCCAGCGATTTTGCCGTTCCCGAGCTCGTGGCGGCCGCAGTCCAGGATCACGCGTGGGCGATGTCTGCCGAGGGAGCAGCGCGCCGAGCAGCCGACGGCCCAGGGCGAGATTCCACGGACCGGAAAAAATAAGGCGGCGGGGTCATGCGGATTGCGCCACTGAAGCCTTAGTTAGAGCTCCCACGGGGCCACGAAGCATGTGAGGGGTGTGCGAGAACGGGGAGGCGCCGCCATGCGAGCTGCGCCAGTGGAGCCTTAGTTGGAGCCCCCTTTTTATGGGGCCACGGAACATGTGACGGGGGTGCCAGAATGAGGCGGCGCCGCCATGCGAGCTGCGCCAGTGGGACCTTTGGAGGGGCTACGTATGTGGCCACGAAATGTGTGAGGGGTGCGCCAAGATGGGGCGGCGCCGCCACGCGAGCTGCGCCACTGTGACCTTAGTTGGAGCTCCCTATGGGGCCACGAAACATGTGAGGGGTGTGTCTGAATGGGGCGGCGCCGCCATGCGAGCTGCGCCAGTGGGACCCCAGTCGGAGTTCCCTACGGGGCCACGAAGCGTGTGAAGGGTGTGCCAACATGGGGCGGCGCCGCCATGCGAGCTGCGCCGATGGGACCTTGGGAAAAGTTCCCAATGGGGCCACGAAGCGTGTGACGGGTGTCCTCGTCCCCGTCGTCGACATCGTCGTCGTCGTCGTGGCTGTCGTTGTCGCCATTGTCGCCCTCGTCGCCGTCGTCGTCGTTGTCGTCGTCATTGTTGCCCTTGTTTTCGTTGTCGCCGTTGTCGTCGTCGTCGGGTTTGTCGTCGTCGTCCTCGTCGTCCTCGTCGTTGCCTTCGCCGTCGCCGTCGCCGTCGTCGTCGTCGTCGTCGTCGTCGTCGTTTCTTCTTTGTCTTTGTCGTCGTTTCCCCCCTCGTCGTCGTCGTCTGCGTCGCCGTCGTCGTCGTTGAGTCCTTGTCGTCGTCGTCGTCGTCGCCGCCGTCGTCGTCGCCGTCGTCGCTGTCGTCGTCGTCGTCGCCCTAGTCGTCGTAGTCGTCGTCGTCTTCGTCGGCGGCGGCGTCGGCGTCGGCGTCGGCGTCGGCGTCGGCGTCCTCGTTCTCGTCCTCGTCCTCGTCTCTTCGCCGCCGCCTGGTACTCGCCTGCCCGCCCGCCCGTTTGGGCCCCACTCGCCGCCGAACCCGCTCGCCCGTAGGGTCTGCCCGACCGACCCGGCCCGCCCGGTAGGTTACGCGTGTGTTACCCCGATGACACGTCATACTTTTCTCGTCCCGCCCGCCCGACCCGCCGCCCGCCCATCCGCCCCCGTTAGGGTCCGCCCGCCCGACCCGCCTGCCCGGTATTGTTTCCCCCGCCCGACCCGACTCGCACGTTTGGGCACGCGTGTGCTACCTCGATTGCGCGTCATACTTCAAAGTCCCGCCCGCCCGATCCGCCGCCAGCCCGCCCGTTAGGGCCCACCCGCCGCCCGACCCGCCCGCCCGTTAGGGTCCGCCCTCCCGCTCCGACCCGCCCGTTAGGGTACGAGTGTGCTACTTCGATTACACGTCATAATTGGATGCCCCGCCCGCCCGACCCGCCGCCCGCCCGCCCGCCCGTTAGGGCCCGACCGCCCGACCCGACCCGCCTGTTTGGGCACGCGTGTGCTCTTCCGTGATGCGTCATCGTTTAGTGTCCCGCCCGCCCGATCCGCCGCCCGCCCGCCCGTCAGGGCCCGCCCGCCCGCCCGACCCCGCCCGCCCTTTAGGTTCCGCCCGCCCCGTGGTGGGCGTGCCGTCGTGGCCATTCCTCTTCTGCTTGAGCCGCTTCTCGTCTTGCTTCAGCACTTTCTTGGCGCGAGCGGTCATCGCCTCAACCTGCGGCTCCGTCGCGCGGAGATGCTCTTTGAGGTCCCCTGGGCCCGCCCTTGCTGCTGCCAGCTCGGCCTCCTCGCCCGCCTCGAGGTTCAGTGCCCCGATCTCCTCGAAGCGCTGCTTGTGCCTTCCACGGGGCGGCGAACGCGGGCCACATGGTGCGAGGCCGAGCCCTTCTCATCCGCGGCACGGTGGTTGATGCCCTCGGCCTTGGCCAGAGTTTGCGGCGCCTTCCTCTTATGCTTGACGGCTTGCGCCCTTGCCACGACCAGCGTTGCCTCGGTCTCCGTGGCCTCGGCTGCGCCAAAGCTCTCCCTGAGCTTCACGACGCAGCGACGAGCTGGTTGTGCCTGTTGACGGCGGCACGCCAGACTCCGTCAGCCATCATGGCCCTGACGGCGGTGATGGACGAGTTGCCTTGATCATCCTCCTTGGCCGCGATCTTGACGACCTGCGCTTGGAGGATGCCCCGAAAGCGTGGGTCCGTCGCCTCGGCTGGCGCCAGCTGGAGGATGGTCCGTCGCGGTGGGCTTCGTGCGGGTGCACGTGCGCCAGGCGGCCGTGGAAGTTCCTGGCCCCTCCAGCTCGATCGTGCCTCTGACAACGCCGCATCGCGCCCAGGTGAGCGCGACCTGGGACGGTGGACCCTGATCCGACGGCTGCCTTTCGGGGATGCCGGGCTCCTGCCGCCCAGCTTGCCATTGCGTTCGTGCGTGCCGCATCCTCGGCAGCGGGCCCACGTGCGAGTCATCTTGCCGCAGCCTTGGTTGTCGCTGAAGGCGGCATGTAGAAGTAAAAGTAACGCACTGCCGGAGCGCAATCCCTCAAGCGCCACGTGGAGGCACCGGGGCGGCTCAGTTTGCAAAATGCGGCCTGCGCACAACTGGCTTGAGTGAGGATGATGAGGGTGTGAGGTATCGGGAAGAGTCGACTCGCTGCCGGTGTCTGTGGACCCCAGACGGGTCACTGAGAAGATTGATGGGCGAAAGGGTCCCAACCTGTAGTGGGGGGACGGTCGAAGAGGGAGCCAGGCTTGGGGTCAAGGCCAAGGGCAGCACGCTGTCGCTGCCACTTTCGCTCCCGAGAGGGTGTGAGGGGGGACGGAGGAGGCGGACAAGGAAGAGGAGGAGGGGATGCCCAGACGAGGCCAGGAGGGGGTGTCTGGGGCGGGCGTTGTGGGAG